ATAATGCAATATAGTGAGCTGCCAATAGTCAGGTTCCCCATTACTGTTAATGCAAATGACCCACTACAAACAATCATGTTCAATACCCTGCTATCACAGTACTTGCACAAGGTACCCAATGACCAGCTACAACCTTCATGTCATTATTTCTGATGGTCCATCCTGAAAATACAGACACAAAGTTAATCTACAACTGATTGTTTTCAAGCTTACACACTGTGCTGTCTAGGTCCCAGTGATACATTTGTGGACATCTGCTCTAACTATGGCTATCTCAGCTACACCCACAAAAAGGCAACATGTTCCCCTAACTTGAAATCTGCTTGGAGAATACTGCTAATCCCAGTTAGGGGTGCACAAACATTGTAGTACCACCAACTATGCTAGCATATTTGAATCCTCAAAATGGCAGAACTCTCTGCTGTAGCCTTGCAACCAGGCAAACTGCACAGAATCTTGCAAAAACAGAAATAGTTTGATAGGCCTGCACCAGCTCTGGCTGACAGCACTTCCCAGAGCAATAAGTTTGGCCTCTAGGGAAACCAAACTGGACATTTCTTGTGAGGCAAAGGTTCCAAATTGGCATATCCACATCTGGATCAAAAACTGACTCAGCAATTTCTGCCAGGTTCTGTAAATACACATTGCTATCATTAGCATTATACAGGCCAAGGGGCATAAGGCTGATAGCCATATCCTTGAAAACATATGTATCATAGTATTATACAGGACAGCCATATAGATAATATTTTGTGTCCCCTGCACCTATCTAGCCATTGTCAGAAATATTATTATTGCAACACCATAACATCCTTCAGGTTGACATCTGATGGTTCATTCAGGTTCAAAAAATGTTTAAATATACTGATGGCAGATTAAATAGTCAAATACAACTATATTAATCAATGTCAACATGGAAAACTTGCTTCATATACAGCTAGAACACCTTCAGCACTGAAAATTGTGACATGTATATGAAGAGGCATCAGGGATACACCTTCTTCATTGCCTGCCAATGACAGCAGAAATTCCCAGAACCACAATGTTCTGGGAACTTCAAAATTAGCATATCAATTTTTAAAAACACCATCTTCTGGCTAATTAAAGAAGGATATCATATATACACATATATATATATATATATATATATATATATACATATATACATATATATATATATATATATATATATATATATATATATATATATATATATATCACATATATATTGCACAATTTCATGCACCCACATTACAGCAAGTTTTTCCAATCCAGAGACAATGATATACAACTGGTGGCATTTTAACAGTCACCTGCTGGTATCCAATAACCCATTGGGTCACATCCATTTTTTACAAGTGCATGTGATATAACTCAGACTGTTATTCAGGGATTACAAATGAAATAAAAATGAAACAAAGTGAGCTTTAATAACATGGACCAACTCATCCAGTCATCCATGACTGATACAACCTATCACATCCAAAGGCTGACCATACATTTCATGAGACAAGTGTCGCCTATCATGTCAGAAGATCTGATCAGTATAAAACAAGCAACCAAACTCAGTGCCTTAAATACATATCATGTTACTATGTCAAAGGACTATAGTCAAGGGACACCTTTTATTGGTGGTTACCATTTTAATAAAGCAATGGAATAAACCACATAATAAAGGACCAATAACACACTAAACATCATTTTTATTCAAGTATAAATGATATGCTGAGAAAGCAACTGTATCCTTGGTCAACAGCCACTTCTTTACAATGCATGGTTACACAGCTAGCAGGAATGGGAACATAGGGTAAAACCCCTAACAAACCTTAAATTTGATATTACCATCGATGCCGCTTGGGAAGAATAACCCCAACACGTCCAAATCCTCTCTGATTCTTCCCTATCACCCCATTTTCTGCTCATCCACTTCACTGTTGAAGATCAAAGAATGAATACAAATAAGTTTACAACTATCAGTGATGGGACCACAACCACAAGTGAGGGTCCATATTCAGCTGGTGGGGCTCCAGCCCAACTTTGACATGAAACTGGCCAAATCTGAGAAAGGTCTTTCATCATTTGGAGACAATTAAGCTCATTTTTTCCAGCTCAGGCTCACCAATTGACTTTGAAGATTCAGAGCACACATACAAGGTAGCACTTCTGTTAAACAACATTGGAAAATACTTTGAATGCACTTCTTTATTCAATGTTATATACCAAATGATTGCACACTTTATTACCCTTCAAAATAAACCCTGTGCTGTTTGTTCTCTGTCTCCCAGACCCACTTCTTCAACACAACGAGGGAGACAATTGTGACGCTTTAGGGTGTGCCTGTCCAACAAGATGACTCCTTGCGTGCATTTTTGGACGACTGACGTTATTCCCGCACCATTTATCGAACACAACAGAGCAGGAAACGTATTCCAGGAAAGCGATTACGAGACAAAGCATGCAGATACAACGAAAATCTTTGTACCTTTTCCGCAGATGCCAAGTGGCCAAACCCACCGCGATGTCGAGCGGTGTGAACGATGAGGCGAACCTACGACATCTGAAGATAAAGGTAAATTGAAGAGGTAACAGCGGGACGAAAAGCCTCCGATCCCACTATCCTCTTTTGATTCCAAACAAAACAAAAAAGGAAGAACGAGACAAACCAGCCCCGATAGCAAAATGGCGCAAGAGTGCGCATGCGCGAACTGAAAACATCTGTGTTCGGATGCAGCATTCGTCGTGAATTGTTGTACAAATCAGTAAACAGAAATATAGCAAATAAAGATCAGTTATCAAAATAAAATTACTTTATATAAAATCAGGTTCAATTTTCTATTATTAGAGGTTTTATATTTCATGCCTATAAGTTAATGTACTATTTGATTTTTGTGTCAATGTGGTTGCACTAAGACAAAAGTGACGCTAACTGTTTTCATTACTGCATTTTTGCACGCACCCGTCTTGAAACTCTACGTGGTTTAGGATTTGCTCGGCCTTACAGGTAAAGGGAAAAAAGTTTACTTCAAGAAACGCTGCTTTTCAGCATAAATTAGTGTCAATTTCAGTTCGTTAACCAAGCATTGATGCCGTCTAAGACTTCAGGTAATGTTGATGTTACGCTGAGCGGCAAATACTTGGCTAACTAGGTGAAATTATGCGATGGGATTCACTTATCACAGGAAAAGATGATGTGTGCTTGGAAGCCACAACAGTGACGGTGTGAGGAGAAGGGAGACAGGAATCCTCTGCCGTCGTTTCTTTTTGAATGTTTTTAGCAGTTACAACTTAATGGCAATGGAAGAAGATTCTTCTGCTGTCACTTCTTAATGAATGTCTGTTGGCAATTACAATGAAAGTGATCAAGACAAAGAAACAGAAATGGGCAACCATTTGTAATGAATCTGCAATTTTCTGCTACCTAATAGTTGTTATCAGTTGATAAATTGATAATGTATTGATCACTTTGATGAATCACAATTGTGCCTCTTGGCCTTAGCAGGTATGTGAAGTTACTTGATATGACTGATGTTCCTTAAGACTGTGACTTAATATTTGGGTATTAGCTGTGCATTTATGAGCCTTCAGGATGATGATCTGAAAGATGATCTCCAGCTGAAGTACAGTAGATGAATACATAGGGTATCAGAAGGTATATTGTATCCAAATTAAACTAAAATTAAAATTCCAGTCATTGTCATTGTCTGCATCCTATAGCCAGACTGTAAAAAGTGTTTCGCCAAACGCGTGGAGTGTGACAGTCACACCACAGCCAAAATTTCAGTGCACCTGCACATTACATTCCAATGCTCTGGGTTCTGCATACAGCACTGCCATTATCAGAGCGTGAGTTCAAAATGTAGAGTCATTGTCATTCTTAGGAAGTCATTTTACACAAAATTATGCCTGAAACACCTTTTACACTAAAAAATATAGCATATTTCCTGGCCTGATATTGGCACACACAAGCGCAGGGTTCAGCCCACTAATGTTAGCAGGTGTCTGACATAGACACACAGTGGAGACACTTTTTTGAAGCTGGCTCTGCAGTGCTCTTTCCCTGATTTTCTGTTGCACTGAGAAGTGCATGCCAATGCCATCATCAAAAATGTAACTCAAGACACTGCTGGGAAAGTGGAGGAAGACTGGCTATCCACCAGCACTAACCTTGTTAAAATGATAACCAGTTAATATTAACAGTGATAGTTAGTTGGTAATGACTAGTATCAGTGGGAAGCATGAGTACATATGGACAGGACAAACTCTGGGACAAGTTAAAATGATAATTTCAGAATATGTTAAGTTTTAAAAATGATGGCTGATGTCCCCCCCCCCCCCCACCTCCACACACCATTACCTACAATTTGATTCAGAATAATGCATATTAGCAGAAGAAAGGAAGATTCAGCCACCATCTCAAGATATGCATAATCACACCACATGCCTCTACCAGATAACCAACCAAAAAAATGTTTTCAACTTCATCTTGACTCATCCAAAATAAGGCCAAGTCTGAGGTCCTCTAACTGCAGACTCTGTCTGGCTGACTCTGGTTTCTTATAGCTGTAGTACTTATATGCATCATTTAGAATGTTTGCCCCAATCATGTAGCATGTCACCTAGGTTTTATACTAAGGTGTATTATACATAAACCAGGCATCCATCAATATAGACCCTCATGTTTCCTCTTCATCCCATCCTCAGTTCCACACCCTTTTTCTCTCTCCTTTCATAATATTCCATATTCCTGTCTCTCCCCCCCCCACTTCTAAATTCCTCTTACTCACCAGCTTTCCATCATTTAAGGGAATGTGACACATATCAGTGCACACCCAGTCATGCTACTGTTATTGTAGCTGTAACTGTTTAAAGTAACCGCCGCCCATTTGTCCAGGCGTCACCATGCCGTTGCCCCCTGGAATACGGCCGGCGGGTCTCTCCGACTCTGACTCTGACTCGGACGATGGGCTGGTAACGGCCGTCTCACCGGCACCGACCAGTCGGGCGGGCAGACAGCAAATCAACGGAGGTGGTCCTCAGGTCAGGTCAAGGGCCCAGCTCCGGATCGGACCACAGGCTGGCGGCTGTTGCGCACAGGCGCCAGCCGATGGGACGCAGTTACATAGGTCGCAGGCGCGGTGAGATACTTGTCTTTGTGCACGCAGTGGCATGGCGTGATTGAGGTGCGTGATGTTATTCTTGTAATTTCCTGGGTGTATTTTCATTATTTTTGGTTGTTATGGGTTTCATATTTCGCATTTCTGTTTTTCCAATTTTGCTTTGAGCTTAGGGCGACAACAGACTATTGCATTTCACAGCACAAAGCGTTTATTGCGAGTTTTGCAACATATCAGTCTTTTTCTTGTTGCTCGTTCAGCAACGGTCAACGGTCAGCAATCCGATGACGACTCGCACTAAAACTGACTCAGATGGCAGGCTAAACTCATAAAAATATCACGTTTTGACTGCGTGCTGTGCGACTGCTGTCCATTTACCCCAATGCTGTTGAGACCGCCGACTGTCTGCTGCTGCGCCACGAGCGCAGCCGTCCCTCTGACGGCGCTCCTCTGCGCCGGCAGACGAACGGTGGCGCGCCGACGTTCCTGACGCGGCCGCGGCTGCGCCCCGATGTCTGCAATCCGCCACTCGAGGACTTCCGTACCGCCATTGCTCAGGGCAGCCTGGCCGACGTCAAGATACTGGTCAACCAGGGTAAGTAGAGGTGCAGGGGATGTGGAGTCAGACCGGAGCAGCTGTTGGGATGGGACAAGAAGAGAGGGTGGTTGCGCTCTCAGAAAGAGAGAGAGAGAGTAGGAGAGAGAAGAAGGGAGAGAGAGAGGAAGTCGCGAGAGAGCGATAGAGAGATATCAGTCGTATATCGCTCTCGATATCTATATCTATGATATAGCTCACTCTCTCTCTCTTCTCTCTCTCTCTCTCTCTCTCTCTCTCTCTCTCTCTCTCTCTCTCTCTCTCTCTCTCTCTCTCTCTCTCTCTCTCTCTCTCTCTCTCTCTCTCTCTCTCTCTCTCTCTCTCTCTCTCTCTCTCTCTCTCTCTCTCTCTCTCTCTCTCTCTCTCTCTCTCTCTCTCTCTCTCTCTCTCTCTCTCTCTCTCGCTCTCGCTCTCGCTCTCGCTCTCGCTCTCGCTCTCGCTCTCGCTCTCGCTCTCGCTCTCGCTCTCGCTCTCGCTCTCGCTCTCGCTCTCGCTCTCGCTCTCGCTCTCGCTCTCGCTCTCGCTCTCGCTCTCGCTCTCGCTCTCGCTCTCCCGCTCTCCATGACGTTGGTATGGATCTTGTCGATACGTTCCACGTTGCTCCCCAGGCATATCAGTGAACCAGCCGCTAAAGAACGACTGGTCGCCGCTGCTGTGCGCCTGCGCCGCCTCCACGCCGGCCGTCGTCAGCTACCTGATCGCACAGGGCGCCGATCCAAACGCGCACAAAGGTAGCTTCTAACGGTGTGTCCAACCCTTGGCAGGCGGGCATGGTAGGCGGCCATTTCAGCCGGAATGCGGGTGTGGGGCGGCTGAACATGCCAAGCAGGGACTCTTGTTATGACTGTAGAACTGGCAGGGAAAGTCGGATTGGAGACCCATGCATGACAGAAATGCGTGATGCATTTGTGGCCAAATATGTGACCTCTGGCGCACCTGCACGATGCAGTGTATACAGCTGCTACAGGGGTGCTTCTATGTAGTCCACCAGTCTAACTACATCTGCTACCATTGCTAATGACCTGTTCACTGAATCACATCAGACGTGTCTCACGAGACTAGCTGGGCTCGTACCCCCATATCACATCACACATGTCGTAATCAAAATCATATCGTAGCGTCGTCCTAACGCCGCACATGCTGACGTCCGCTGTGCTTCGGGCAGACCTGTACACGCCGCTGATGGCCGTGTGCTGCTCGTCGCACTACTCGGACGAGACGGCCGGCCAGGTAGTGTCGGGGCTGCTGGCGGCCGGCGCCGCCGTCACGGCCGCCGACCGGCACCGCCGCACGCCGCTCCTGTACGCCGCCAAGGAGGGCAAGAGCGGCGTGGTGCGCCAGCTGCTGGCCGCCGGCGCCGAACCCGGCCGCCAGGACACCATGGGCTGGACGGTCAGCGCGCAGTGAACGGGACCGGCGCCTCACTAGGCGGGGAGGGATAAGGAGAGAGGATGATGGGCTGGACTGCAGGGCTGCTCGTGATGGTGAAGTGAACCTGACGTCGGACTGCCGCCGTGGTGGGCCTGGCGTTCGTCTGGATTCGGTGCATAATATTTGAGGGCGGTTAGTAGACCTTGAATGTGGTGGGATGCATGATGGATTGTATAGGAGTAATGTAAGCAAGACGTCAGCTGACACTGAAAATTGTTAGATAGTCGGCGCATTGCGTAATACCCGTTTCAGACCCTGTTTTTGCTCAGCCGGAAGACCCCCCCGGCCCATTATGATTGCCCCGAGTGTGTCGAACCATGCGTGCTGAAACGTTGACGCGGCCTGGCGCCCTCACGCGAGGAGGGCTATAGCGGGGTCGCCGCAGTCGCCGTCAGGGTAGCTGGACGCCCTGCTGACCCTGCTGTCCTCTCAGGCGATGATGCACGCCGCCAGCCGGGGCTACGGCCACATCGTGCGCCACCTGGTGGAGGCCGGCGCCGACGGCGCCATCTATAACCTCAGCGGCCAGACGGCGGCCGACCTGGCACAGGCCAACGGCTATCACGCGGTGAGTACCTCTGCCCACGGCAGCTGGGGAGGGGGAGGGGTGGGCAGCCACCCCTTCTGATGGGAGTGGAGGCTGACTCAGCACTGGCGCAAACTTAAGCTGAGGCATGGATGCAGATATGTGACAAGAGATGACATCAACTGACATGCCAGTGGAAGTGAATTTGTGTGTTCTTTTCACCAGCGTGTATGGCTAAGGAATGTACAGATGTGGATAGGATGATAAGATGTGGCTCACTTCAAGTGGTTTGCTGCTCCACAATTAAATGGATACAACTGATGCACATGATTGCCTGTGGGCAATGTGCCATTTTGCACATGCCATTGTCTGTAAAGAAACACATAATAGCCTTCATCAAAGAAGTCTCTGGTTTTCCATTCATTCAGTGTAATGTGGGTATGTTCCAATGGAAGAGACACAGGTTCCTGAAAACAAGTTTGAGAACAACTGGACAATCACACAGTTATAATGGTTTCGCTCTGAGGCAGGACAGTAACCAGACCGATTACTGGGGGGTGCACCAGCTTGCCATCAAAGAACAAACTCTGAGGCAGGACAGTAACCAGACCGATTACTGGAGGGTGCACCAGCTTGCCATCAAAGAACAAACTCTGAGGCAGGACAGTAACCAGACCGATTACTGGAGGGTGCACCAGCTTGCCATCAAAGAACAAACTCTGAGGCAGGACAGTAACCAGACCGATTACTGGAGGGTGCACCAGCTTGCCATCAAAGAACAAACTCTGAGGCAGGACAGTAACCAGACCGAATTACTGGGGGGTGCACCAGCTTGCCATCAAAGAACAAACTCTGAGGCAGGACAGTAACCAGACCGATTACTGGAGGGTGCACCAGCTTTTTATCAAAGAGGGACACTTGGCATCAGCATGATATATTTTTTTCTGAAACACAATAATTCTGGTACAGATTTGTTACCTGCAGTTGTAGAAGTTGTTAATTGCATTTGTGAGGAACATTATGCATACAGATAAGGCTTTAGCAATAGTCTTATTCCTTATAAGACTGTTATTCCTCATATAAGGTTACTACTTTTGTCTTATTTGTTTACAGTTGGCTGCAGATCACAACATAAAACAAAGTGGATCCGGTTGTTGTGCAAACCTTTATGCCTCAAACCCCAGGATTACATGCAACAAGGCTTGGGCGCCCCACAGGTGCCACACGACACACGGGCGCGCGACGCACTCGCCTCATTCCCGACCCACTCCCAGAGGAGGTTCGATGCTTCTGGTGACCAGGACAATCCCCTGACTTCCCAGGGGTTATTTTGACACCGGAAGGTCAGGTGGATCCACGCCGTGAAGCATTCGTGCTATGCGGACGGAGACTGAGGTTTCTCTTGGTGGCACTTAAGAAATTGTGGGAAAACCCCCTCATCCCCTTCATTTCATCTGGGCGCAGCGACGGAACTGAGACTCCCCCTCGCTCGGGCAGTTATTAAGAGGCCATCGCACGGACGCGTTACTTTGTTTGTCGCGCGGATCATTGGCCATTGGCCGCATTGGGACACGCACTATCGCCGCCGAGGTGTCGTAACACTCCCCCCCCCCCCCCCCGCAGCGCCGGCTCAGTTTGCAGCAGGGGCCGGGGGACCGTCGCGCGGGAGATTGAAATGCGACGCCTCCACGGCCACCTCCCAGTCTCGACTGGCGTCTAGGGTGGAGCGAGGGGCCTGGTATCAACGCTAGTTGCGAGTGTCAGGCATTGGGCGGGCTTGTAGTGTTAGTTGGATGCTGCGGCCGCGCTCATGTGTCCGGTGATCAGAGTTGATCTCGCCGACAAAAATAGTGGTGCTGTGCAGTTAAATGTTGCGACGGTTTTTTCGTTGAAGTACGCTGCGGATCCAAATTACTACATTTTGATATGCTGAAAAGCGCATGTATGTCCATTAATGGAGAAATAGTAAGGGCTCCGATCGTGTATACTTGTGGCGCGATATGCTGTATGCCCGGCTAGCTCAGTCGGTAGAGCATGGGACTCTTAATCCCAGGGTCGTGGGTTCGAGCCCCACGTTGGGCGAGGTTTTCGCGTCCCGAATTTTGTGTTTTTCGGTTCATGGTCTCAGTCCAAACAAGGAATTGTCCTTCCGATTGTTCGAATGCCCGCTGACAGGCCTCCCTCCTCTTTGCTATTATGGGGAATATCTGCCCACCCTGCAGCTCCTACTGGATTTCTGGATTCCTAGTCCAATACCCGCCGACTCGGTAGAGCATGAGTCTTTGAATCCCAGGTTCGTGGTTTCGAGCCCCACTTCGGGTTAAGTTTTTGCGTGATAACTCAATTTATTTATTGATACATTGTTGCCAGTGGAGACCGCGAAGTGCTTTTTGGTTTGTCCAAATGTGCACGTGTAAGGCAGTAATGTTCAATGCTTGATTTTCAATTTTCAATGTAAATAAATCATTGGAATGGGTGGACAAACGGAGTTGTAGGAAGTCCCCCTCCCCCCCCCCCCCCAGCAACATTCAAAAACCGTTTGGACAAGTCTTATTGGTCTGAAGGTCTCATTTATGGCTAAACTCATGCAGGCCAGATGGTAAGATTAGTTTCGAGGATGTGTGCGGAACCTGAGGCGGGTTGACCTCGGTAGGCCATTGTGGATCTTCGTTGGCCAGATTTCTTTCATTTCCGTTCATGCCTTTATTCCATTCGTCTCAGTTTTGCACCAACACATTGCAGGCCAGTTTCTACCTTATCGTGCCGAATAGCCAGGAGCTTAAAGCATGTATTGCTTATATCAATAAGTCGTGTTTCGACAGGGCTCAGGCGATCTCTCGAGGCTGAATCTGCTTGGAGGCTGGGAGATATGTGGCATATGGGAATCCGGTGAAACAGAGCATCGTCAATTGGTGAATGGCGCGCGTTGCGGGGCGAGAGGCATGTTGGAGGGCATTGTGAGCCCCTCGAAGAAAAAATGCATTTTAGTCTACGAGCTGGTCAACATGTGGCGTCTTCCGATGGCCAGTATACGTATTTAACAGCTGCGATCTCCTTGCGCGGGAATACTGCGCAGCATTGATGATAACATGAGCCGTATGGGAGTCCATCATCATATCGCAGTGCTGTCACCATCACGGCAGTGCCTCAAATCCAAGTGCTGCAGCGCCATGAGCTGCAAGAAGAGCGAAAGTGCGAAATCTCTGCGAAAAAGTGCGAAAATCCAAGTGCAAAATCTTTTGTTCTGTATTCGGTTAGGACCAGCGATTAAGGTACACGATTCTTGAGTCTGGGATAATTTAGTAAGACAACGTGTTGGGTTGGCCATCCCTTTCAAAGAAACGACATACACTCGTCACAATAATACGTGTATTTACGCAGCACCTGCACTAGGATACATCAGAACCTGCATACTGTGCTGAAGATAGTCTTCGACTGTGTTGCTGGGGCGGGCCGAACATCACCGATGCCATGGTGATTTATGTCGCATTTGCGCGGCGTTGGTAGTTTCTAATGCTCGCTTTAGTTAGAGTCGAACTGGCAGCTTCCCACACTGCTTGCAGCATCGTTGACAAGTCTGTACGAACATCATGACAGCTTCTCGGTACATGGACTCAAGGTGTCTGCGGCTGCTTTCGTATTGAAGATTTTTACTGTTCTGAAACTGTGGCCGCCATTTTGTGCACCTTAAGACACAATTCACCATGAGAACCACGCACATTGTGACGCACGCGGTGTCGTGTTTTGCGATCACAGTCTGAGATTGGGTGTCCCCGTAAACGCTAGGGGGTCACCGTGCCGCCGCTCCAAAATCCGACACGACGACGACGACAACAACGGAGACTCTCTGGACCGCCGGTTACATAGCTCAGGTGTCCTCCTTCCCGTCGGCCGGGGATCCCAGTCCCGTCGGGCTGCGTGTGGCAGCGCGCTCTGCTCTGGTGATAGTTGATCCCCCTCCATGGCCGTGACGCCCGCCCTCGGACTGGGCGCATTTCCTGAGGGGACGCCATTTTGACCTGGTGGCCGACTTGGCTGCAGTGCCCCTCCTGATCACGAACGAACAGCCAGGAGGCAAGGGTCCAACTTAGCGCGATAAGCTGGGATGAAGCTGTCGATACCTGCCAGTTGTTCAGAGCTGTTCTTTATCTAGTTGACAGTTGGATTGTGTTTAGCGCGCAGTAGCGTTTGTGACGGACGTTCGGGGTGACGTGGCACGCTGGTCAGCAAACAGACGTGATAATGTATGCTTCGATACGTTTGTGACGTGCAATTCACGTATGTTAGTTTCCCAGGTTGTGTTAGTTTCTGAAGCAAGCGACTGATGTTGCATCAGTCAGCTTGCATGACGGTCGAACAACAAGGCCGTCTTATTCGGCGCACGGTGCCCAGGATTGAATTCAAGCTGGCGATTAGGAGCCCTGCGCACCGCCAGTGTCACCAATCCTGCCTCCCTCCTACGCCGCGATCGCATGTATTTATATTCTGATTTGTGCTCGCGCGTCGCGAGGCAAGCCTACGCAATGCGGCCGTTCTGAACACAGAGCCCACGGTCAGAAATGGGGCGCTCATCAATCAGCATGTCGAGATGTTTCCCAAACCTTAGTGGATGAATGTGGTATCACATTATCGTGTGCAGTCGTCGATACTTTTTAAAAGGCGCTTAAGTTGAAGGGTCCTCGACTGCTCGGTCTGGCGAGACCGGCGAGATCGCCGTGCTATTTTGGTTATGCTCGGTTCGCTGAGCTTGGTAAGCGCTTTTGCAGGAGGTAATGCAGCTTGGAAACTGTACGCCGACCTTAATCGGCGAAAAGTCAACATGCGTTGGAAAATATTGCAAGTACGTTAACCTTGCTCTGAAAGGCGGAGGGTCGACGCCTCGCCCCCTCGTAGTTCTTTCTGCGGATATTTCCCGGACATGCCACGCAATAGCGCCGAGCCTTTCAGCAACCCCTGGGACGCTCATTATACAGGCCTTGCCATTTCAAGAACACCGTTTTGCTTAAAATTGTACGAGAAACACATCCGCACATGTTTAATGCTGTTACAGTCCATGATTCCGTGACGGTTGGCCTGTAAAGCTGATAAAGTATCAGTTTCCAGAACAATGCGCCTTTGGCCTCGCCTAGTGCGGCCAATTATTGATACTGTAACCTAAAACTAGAAACAAATCGCGAGATGTGACAGAGACGAGCCCACTCAGGTTTTCAGAAGCTCTATCATATTATAGTTAAGGCGAGATGAGTCTAACGAAACATGAGGTGAACATGTAGAGTCATCTGCTTAGTGCACCGTGGGGCGGCGTTCTTTGGTGCTCGCAAAACGTTTCAAAAGCGTAAGCGGCCTCGTGTGTGATGTGGTGCCGGGCTGGCAACAGTGCCTCGTCGGCTTAGGACCAACGAAGGTAATTTTAACTCCCGAGCTGTCTGGTTGTATTTTTGTCAGGAAGTAGCCAAATCTTGTGTCGAGGCGTGACAGTTGGACCATAAACCACGCCTTCGCCAGGGAAAAGGCGAGGGAAGGGGGCAGGAAAAGTGTGGGCGATCTAACAGACTTCGTCTCTTCATCGTCACCTACTCTCTTTTTCAAGCCGTATGCTGGCTTTCTGGCCTAAATTCACGGTTTTGAGCTTATGTACGAAGCCGCCAGCCTGAAGGTGTTCACCACCACCTGGAGTGCTCCTGCCCCTGTCCTCTGCTACCCTGACCCAAAACATTTTCGCCCATGTAAGAAAATACAAAGTCATTCGCCCTACTGACGGCCAAGAAATGTGAAACAAATAACAAGAACACCACGAAGCCAAAGAGAATGCAACCATAGGGTGACTATGCTTCAGACGAGGAGTGGGAGAACTGATGCTTAGAAATGGATTGTGCGAACTGATGCTGAGAAATGGATTGTGCGAGAAGCTCATTCATTGGTTAATGTACATACACTAGAAGAGGTAATTGAGTCATTCCAAGTCTGGTGACTGAGGTCACTAGTACCATCACCCAGGTTATTCAGAAACTACTAAACAACGCTTATTTGATACAAGACTGCATGTTTGGGAGGAAAGTTAGTACGTGTGTTGTTAACGTCCCTGCAGATTCTGTGGAGCAGGCAGGGCAGAGCAAGCTGGGCAGGGTAGGCAGAGCGGGCCGGGCAGGGCGGAGTAGTTAGGGCACAGTAGACAGGACAGGGTACGCGGAACAGGGTAGACAAGGCCGGGTAGGCAGGGCAGAGCAAGCTGGGCAAGGTAGGCCGGGCGGAGTAGTTAGGGCACAGTAGACAGGACAGGGTACACAGAACAGGGTAGACAAGGCCGGGTAGGCAGGGCAGAGCAAGCTGGGCAAGGTAGGCAGGGCGGAGTAGTTAGGGCATAGTAGACGGGACAGGGTACACAGAACAGGGTAGACAAGGCCGGGCAGGCAGGGCAGAGCAAGCTGGGCAGGGTAGGCAGAGCGGACCAGGCAGAGCAGAGTAGTCAGGGCACGGTAGACAGGACAGGGTACACAGAACAGGGCAGACAGGGCCGGGTAGGCAGGGGCGGGAGGTGTTTGTGGGCCGGAGGTACTGTTGTTTTCATTCGTCCTGCCGAGGATTTTAAGTGGCACAGGACGATGATTACGCTAAGTTTAGCCTGCCTGTTATCTTACCGTGAGCTTTCTGCCGTTTGAATTGGCGCTGCCTTCCTCAAGTTTTAGATATGGTCGGGTCGATAATCGATGTGTCGCGCGCCTCATCTGTCACACCACTCCACCCGCCTCACCTTGTCACACCACTCCTCTACTACATCCGCCACTCCGTCACTTCACCCGCGAATGCTATCCCCTCCAATCTGAGTACCCATCTGACTCATACGTTTTACCTCTGCCGAGCGCAACAGCCGTTTTGAGCCGGCTGACCTGTTGACACCAGCTGCTATCAGGTCTGCCAGACAGTGGTCTGAGTCCGCAGTGTGACCCGCCGCGTGTGCCGCCTGTCCCAGATCGCCGACCTGCTGAGCCGCGCTCTCGGTGGGCCCGTCAGCTCGGATGACCTCGCCACGCTCATGGAAAAGGAGAACTCGCAGAGCCAGCAGACGCAAAGCAGGTGAGCGGCGTCCGCGCGCTCTCGCGGGTCGCCCGGTGACGCGCACCGGAGTGCTGCAACGCGTCCATAGCCACGCCGAAGAACGCGGACACCTGAACTTTGCAAATGGCGCGGATATGTGATTGTCGCCGGCGCCGCTTCAGGCTGGCATTGAACGTGGTGAGCGTGGCGATGCCAAACTTGGCCTGCTGCCGCCGCCGCCGGCCGCTTCAGTAGAGCGTGCTCGTGGGTCGCGGCCCGCCACGGGTTCGACTGAGACCCGCGCTGAATGCGGCGTTGAATACGGCTCATTACGTCATTCAGCGGCGCCACCCCTCCGGCCTCTTTCACCGGGCCGGCGCCGGGCCGGTGAAAGAGGCCGGATGTCCCGCAATACGGCTGACAACACACGCCACCGCCTGTCGACAGCGTGTTCGGCGAGCTAGAGATGGTGCTGTGCGGCCTGGAGCTGCAGCACCTGATCCCGTTGTTCCACGCGCACGGCGTCAGCTTCGTGTCCTTCCTGCGCTTCACCGACGAGGACCTGGACCGCATGAAGCTGGAGAAGGTGCGGCACAGCCTGCCGCGGCGGCCTGCGCTCGGACACCGATGGTCGCTCGGCGTCACGTTTGCGTCCGTCACGTTTGCGTCCGTCACGTTTGCGTCGCGGGCCGACCGAAACCAGCGACGTGATTTCCGCGAGGATCTCACGTCCCTCGTGGAGTTCAGCGTGGGGTCGGCGATGGCAGGAAATCAGTATGTCTGCCGTTTAGCCACGCCCCGTGCTTCTGGCTACCGCCGACGTGTTTCGTTTGGCGACGGAGTTCCTGGGATAAATGTAAGGTTGGTCGGGGGTGCACGGTAAGCGCGGACTCTGGATAACTGGAAAGGTAGGCTGATTGGTCAAAGGTGGTACGTCGAACGGTGGGCACGATTAGACGCGTGAGTTCGTCGTTTTCTTTGGACATTTTCGTCATTCGCTTTGCACTTTGTAAGTTTTTAATGTGTGAGGTATTTAGATGAGCTTGCGCGTAGCGAAAAAAGACCATACCATGTGAACGATGATCGCATTTTGCTCTCTTCGTCGACTTTCAAACTGCTCTGTGTCTGTGATAACGCCCCACTTCTCCATATCTGTTTTTCGTATTTTGCAGCTAACGATTCGCTTACACTGTCGTCCGCTGCCTTCTTTTGTCATTGTTTCTTCACATATCCTTTTGCATGTATGTGCGTCAGAAATTAAGCTGCCTGCGTCTTTTAGATGAAAGGCGGTTTCTAGAATCGGGGATCGACATCAGTCGCTGAGCACGCTCTTGCGGCTAGCGGGTCACCCTTGCGATCTAGACGTACCTCCACCCCGCACGGCCCATCGCTGCGCGTCCTGCGCGCCGGGTCGACCCGACCCGGGCCTCCGTCTGCGTGCCTCTGTGTGTGGCTGTGGTGGTGTGCAGTGTCGGGCGCCGGCCGGCCGCTCGCTGGGACCACCTGACGGCCTGCCGACGCCCCCGGCTCGCTACGGCGGCGCCTTGCAGGTGGGCGAGCGGCGCAAGATACTGGACGGCATCCGCGAGATCCACCTCCGTGAGTGGGAGCGTTCCAGTCTGCCCACGCTCCACTACAAGAAGTACCTGACGTGAGTACGGCCGGCCGCGCCGCGCGCCACGTGAGGAGAGGCCGGCGATAGCGGCGGCGGCGCCGCGCGCCTCCGTAAGAGGGGAGAGTGCAGCCAGACTGATCCGGCGGTTCGGCGTGGGGCTGGGGTTCTCGCGGTGCCAGCGGGACTGGAGATGAGATAGGAGGCGTGCTGGATGGAGTCTGGGACCGGGTTCGAGTCCTGTGGGGCTCGGTGGCCGTTTCCCGGTGAGAGAGGAGCGTAGGTTCTGCGATGTGACTCTACGATGACTCGCGTACGCAATGTCCGCCGTTCTCGCAGCTTCCGAACCGCTGAGCTGTTGAAGGTGTGACTGTGGGCCGTTTGACCGGCTGAGACAGGAATGTGTCATGATTCGCTGTCTGGGTACGACTGAGATGGGAACGGGTGATGGTGCGCTGTCTGGGTCTGACTGAGATGGGAACGGGTGATGGTGCGCTGTCTGGGTACGGCTGAGATGGAAACGGGTGATGGTCCGCTGTCTGGGTCTGACTGAGATGGAAACGGGCGATGGTCCGCTGTCTGGGTACGACTGAGATGGGAACGGGCGATGGTGCGCTGTCTGGGTACGGCTGAGATGGGAACGGGCGATGGTCCGCTGTCTGGGTACGGCTGAGATGGGAACGGGTGGTGGTGCGCTGTCTGGGTATCCACAGAGTCCATAGACACCGTGGCTGTATTCTGAACGTGCTTATGTGTGCGTCTCTCTTCCCATGCCCCCCCCCCCCCCCCCGGTACATACCCCTGCGGTGTTGTCGCCTGGTCGCTAAGCTGTTCGATGGTGTCGGAGAGTGGGGTCAGATGTCGCGGCTGCGAAACTCGGCGACAAGATCCTTGTATTCCGTTCTGGTTCGTCGGTGCGGTTCGGTGAGTGCCTCTCGTGTACTGATCGCTGGACTGTACTCGACAGCTGGGACTGTTTGGCCTTTGTCGACGCGTTATTTAGTTAAGTTGGAAAGGAACGACGATGTCAGAGGATATTTGAATCACGTCACGCTTGGTATGACCCACGTCGACCTGTATTTTAGCTTGAAAGGAATGATAATGTTGGATGTTACTCTGATCGAACTAGGCCCAGCGCGGCTCGGTATCCCCAAGTCCCATTACCATCATAATAGGACCGGTCTCGGGAATGGCTCAGCCAGGAAGCCTGATGTGTAGCGATGAGGAAACCTGATAGGCATAATCACTGGGCTCATTTGACCCCGAGCTGTGTTTCCCGGAGGCCTGATGAGATGACTGTCCTTGCACAGCGTCCGAGCCAGCTTAGGAAACGGCAGACCATATGCGGGGTTCTGGCGCCGGCTCCAATAAATGACAAGAGCTCCCAACGGGAGGCCAGCTGTCCGCGGAGGGCCGGAAACATTTGACTGAGTCAACGAAAACCCATGAATGTGTTCTGTTGCGGAGTGGTGTTTTACGAACGTATTGCGATGGTCGGACCACTTCTTAGCCAGATATCTTCGTTTTTTGGAAGGATCGAGGGAATTGCGTTGGATCAATAAGGTATACGTTGCTTCCTCCGCTAGCTCCTCTCTTCCAATTAGCCATCTGTCTATCAGCAAGGAGATGTCGCTACTGCAGGGCAGTTTGACCAAAATACGTTATGACTCGGCCATCCAATGAAAACATGTTTGATTACCCGCCCGGTCGTCCTGTATCATGGATTCAGTTCCCCTCGTTAAGGAGGCATAGAGGACCCATCCCTCTCGTCTATACCCGGTACCAAAGTTCTGAGGGTACTCACCACCGAAGTGCGAACGCTGCCGACACCTATTGCATGCTTCGCGTACTACAAAAATGAATTAATATCGAAATCACAACCACCCGATGTGCCTGTCAGTTGCTGTTTGGCCGACGTTGTTTTAGAAATAAGATTGTAACAGGTCTGTAGGCTCCTTTTTTAGTTTAATGGTCAATAACGTATTATACAATGAAGTTAAAGAGTGCTGAGAGTGCTGCAATTGCAACATTGCAAACACCGTAGGACAAATTGGCAATTATCAGAATTATTCATTGATCCATACCAAGGTAGAAGCTGCACATTGTGGGTTAGCAAGATAAATGGATAAATCTGATATTCTCAGTTTTTGGCTACTTTTATAGTATGTACGTATGTAGGTAGCGCGGTGGGTGGTGGTATGTAGCTAGCGCAGTAATTATACAATAGTTGTCGATATGCAACAGGCAGCGAAATAAAGGATCCTTTGGTGACAAGAGCGTAAGCACCATTATATCATGTCCAAATTTGGTCGAGACCCGGCGGCTGAGTCCGGTCTTATTCAACTCTGTGTACCTTCCATTGGCTTTACGTCAGCAATACAGCCTTAAGATCGCACCAAATAAACGAAAAGAAAATCGAAAAAACACCAACGTACGTTTAGCACCCATTCAAAGCAGCGAAGGGTAGTGCTGTGCTCGTGAAACTAGTGTACTGACGTTTAGTTGCCGACAAATTTCGAGGGTTTGCAGTAGCTCTGTTGGTATTAATGCCGTCAGGAGCTCTGTTGGCTGTTGGTATTAATGTTGTCAGTAGATCCGTCGGTATTAATCTCGTCAGCAGCTCTGTTGGTATTAATGTCGTCAGGAGCTCTTTCGGTATTGTTCCTGCTCGAAACATCATGTGGAATTCGTTGCAAGCGAGGCTGCTGGCTGAGTGAGGATTAATTAATTCATGATATATTTCGATTCGAGCAACCTGGTTCGCACGTCACACGTTCTACACGCCGACATATTTGCGAGCGATGAACTTGCGAACGATGATCGCGGTGTCATACAGTGTTCAGTAACAAGAAGCGCAGTTCCTTACAAGCTTTGCCGTGTAAGCTGTGGGGCATTTCCTTACAAGCTTTTTCACGAGCTGTAATTTGCGCTCAACATTGCAACATGAAAAAGGATGGTCGTTCCCATACGATTGTCATGAGAAACGGGGAACTTAAGTTTTTCGTGGTACCACAAGGTCCACCTATTCTGACGGAGGGGGAACAGGCGATCTGTAACCGGACAAGTGTGGGTGGATCTGTTCAGGCGCTCATGCGCAGCACGAGAGCAAACCAGGGGCCCGCCCGCTCGTTTTTTTTGTGAGTGTTGCAGTTGCCTGTGCTGGTTCGCAGGACCACACCACGGAAACGGGCGTATGTGGACGTGTGTCTCTTTGGTGCTCGTATGTGGACGTGTGTCTCTTTGGTGCTCGTATGTGGACGTGTGTCTCTTTGGTGCTCGACACCTCGGACGTGACTGCCAGACACGTGAGGATGCATTGGGCCGTCTCAGCGTCTCGGGTCGCCTCATCGCTTATTCTGCGCCGGCCTCATGCGGTGTAAAAAGCTTGGCTGTACATACCGAGTGTGAGGCAGATGTACATGACAAACGTTAGTTGAACGATAACTTACGGGGGGGGGGGGGAGGAATGAGGCACGTGACGTATCGTTCATCTCGGACCTTGGCGCCGGGGCCAGGGTAACCTGACGCCGGGCTAACATGAGGCCGGCGCAGAATGAGCGATGGTGCGACCCGGGACGCGGAGACTCCCAAAGGCGTCCTCACGCGTCTGGCAGTGACGCACAAGGCGTCGAGCAATACAGACGCACTCATCTACATGCGTCCGTTTCCGTGGTGGGGTTCTTACATCGGCCCAGTGTGAAGGGAGGGGGCGGAGGTTGCATTTGTAAATGACTAGTGCTAGATTCGGGGTGGTCAAAACAGAAAAATCAGCATCACGGTTCAAGGCGTGTCGTCTAGAAACTACTACACAATCACAACTCTGGTGGCTGGTCCACAGGTACACCAGCGTTCCTCCGGCGACGACCAATGACATCCCGTTTTGTTTGAATCAGCCACGCGAACGATACGCTGAGGACTGATCGAGGATAAATGGGTCCAAACAGAGTTCGGAGGCGTCACTGACCTTGTCAACGAGGCACACCCAGATAGCTTGTATTTTCGCAATCAAGTGATGTCAGGCAAGCCTGGGTCATTTCTGGGTGGAGCCGCCGACGGAAACGGCAAGGCTGGCCAGGCCCATGGCCGCCTGCTCTCCAAACATGGGATTTGTGACCCCTCACTTAAATGCGAGATCACTGGGCATTTCCGTTTGTTGGTAAGACAAAAGAAAAAACCCTACTCCTCAGTGAAAAACCGGGATAATGGAGATGTAGTGCGTTGATATTTCGGCAACATGCCGGTATGAAAACGAATAGCAGAGTTGAATTCAGAATTGCCTGCCAATGATCCCACTGAATTTTTCATTTTTTAACAGCAAGCCACAGTTTTAACAGGACACCAATGTTCAGGGATTAAACAACGAGCTATTGCCAGCCATTATTACGATACAGGGCATATCTCAGAATTAGAATGCGCGAAATATGCGTGTATTTAAAGATATTCAAGCGAACAGGTATTATGCATCACGTTTCATTCAAACACGCAAGCGAGTTGAAGTAAACAGGCATTACAGATCACGCATCAGTTATGCATGCAAGCGATTCAAATTAAACAGGCATCGCGGACGACGTGTCAGGCATCACTTACACATGTTAACGATATTAAGCTAGCACACATCACACAGCACGGCACATCTCATGTTCGCACAATCGGTCATGAGCCCGGTACGTTAAGGTTTGGTCGCCGACTTTTTATGTGAACAGATTCAATTCTTTTCCTGTCTGGATGGTCCAGCACTTTGTAGGTGACTTTGAGCTCTAAAATGGGCAAAGGGTTTATACCTCCCTGAATTTTAGCCTGAGCGTGTTTCGTCAAAAAATGGCCACCGAAAGGGGTATTCCCTGTTTTGTTTTTAGCGTCCCACAGGTGTTCACTATACCTCGAACGGATAGGGCGCGTGGATTTCCCGACAGAGACGATGTTCCCCTCCCATGTTTTTTACTCAGTTTGCACTTAATTTCGTAATCCACGTTTTTTGCGTGCGAAACCCCTTGAAACACACACTTGCATAAATAACATCTTTTGCCACCCGGGCACTTAGGCGTCGAGATTGAAGATTTCACCAGAGGCCCCTGTAGCTTATTGCCATTCCTCCAAGCCATGCGTACGCAAAGTTTTTATTTTTTAACGATGTGTTTGATTTTCCAAAACAAGCGCTTATGTAGGTAGGGAAGCGTTAAAAATCCGTCGTCCGATGATTGTTCCTTCCTCCTATCACCCATACCCCACGCGTTTAAATATCAACGCATCTATATCTCCTTTCTCCTGGTTTTTCTCTGATGAATAAGGCTGTTTGTACTGTCTCATCTATGTGAGTAATGTTCCTCGCAAACACACATAACAACTTACGTAATTTCCGCCTGCTGAAATGCCACGAAAGATGCACATTCTAGTGCACTGGGAAGCTCCCCTCGATAGGGCTCCTAAGTCAGCTGACGCCGCTCACTGAGGTCTTGTTATTACTTGCATGTTACCAAAGCCATCCGACCGTCTCGTCCGGCACCGCGAATAATGTTTTGTGATGCATGCATAACGGAAGTGGGACTGCGGAATGAGGATTGGGAAATCGGTGAGGAAATGTTCAGAAATTTGGTTACTCACTTGGAGCAATTGGTTCCATCGTAAGGGCACCTATGTCTAGAAACTGCTCACGCTTTTTGTCTCGTCTTTGTATATGCTACTCATTCCATCATGTAAATTACAAATTACGTGAGCACAAAGAATGACAAGAAAGCGAGATGGTTCTTCGGCATGCCCATAAACACGCCTCCTGATTCACACATCCGGCAAAACTTCAGCATTTATTTTTGGAAGCAGCTGCTGTTACCCCCCCCCCCCCCCCCCACACACACTAGGGTTTTACTTTTCGCAGATTCTCTCCTTCCTGTCGATCAGTAGGACGTGTTCGATTGTTCTCATCTCATGGATATATGGATATCAGAAGCTAACCAGTCATGCAACGAGCTCGCTAAGCCACGCAACGAGTTCGCTAAGTCACGCAACGAGTTCGCTAAGTCACGCGACAAGTTTGCTAAGTCACGCACTGACTCGCGGACAGCAAGTTTGGTGAGCCCATTGGCGCCTTCACAATCGCGCCTCTCGTTTCGGCCATCTATGCCCCTCCACGGACCGTTGGACAGTGCTTGCTGTGGTGAGCTGGTGGGAGCTCGCCGTCGCTGTGGCCCCCGGCTTCTCTGCCAGCCTGCTTTGGAGGAAGAGTGCTGACGTTAAGTTGCATTGCCTTCTATCTCCGTAGCGTTTCTATTGATGGGATGGAACTCCGCCATCTGGCGTGTATGTTTGGACGTGGCTGGGAGGATGACATGCGGCGCGCACATAGGCTGTCAAAGAGGCTTAGACATGACTTTGATTAAGATTCGTGATAAAACGATAGGGAGCCCGTTGGAGCACTTCGTGCATAACCACTTGCTGTCGACGGGCCCCAGAACTCGAATATTGTCACCACCAAAACAAGACATTGTTGTGTAACAACAGGTAAGAAAACTATTCTGGCCAGACACATTCCCCAGGTTGTACACCACGCAACCCAACACACGCACGCCCCGCCGCTACCGGCACGTTCTGTGGCTCTCCGCCGGTGCCATGTGGCCCGCTGCCGCCCTGACCGCCAGGCGCCGTGCCCGCGGCCTTACGTCCGCCATCCATGTCTGCCGTCTCACGTCCGCCGTCCGTGTCCGCGGCCTCACGCCCGCCGTCCATGTCCGCGGCGTCACGCCCGCCGTCCGTGCCCGTGGCCTGACGCTCGCCGTCCATGCCCGCGGCGTCACGCCCGCCGTCCGTGTCCGCGGCCTCACGCCCGCCGTCCATGCCTGCGGCCTGACGTCCGCCGTCCGTGTCCGCGGCCTCACGCCCGCCGTCCATGCCTGCGGCCTGACGTCCGCCGTCCGTGTCCGCGGCCTCACGCCCGCCGTCCGTGTCCGCGGCCTCACGCCCGCCGTCCGTGTCCGCGGCCTCACGCCCGCCGTCCGTGTCCGCGGCCTCACGTCCGCCGTCCGTGTCCGCGGCTGGCGGTCCGAGCCGCGGCCGGACGCTGCTCTGCGCTCGACCCCGTCGCCACCGCAGTGGAGCGTGCCTCAGGTCTCGCGGCTGCCGTCCTGCGGCGACCCGTCTCCGGGGAGCTGGGGCGGCACCGGACCAAGCCTGCCTCCACGGCACCCGGGGGGCGCTCAGGCTCGCTGCCGCCGCCGCCGCCTGCTGCCCGGCCGGGATGAAGGGGTCGCCTAGCCGCGGTTAGGTCGCGTGTCCGGCTGTGATTTGCTGCTTGCCGAGCTTGTGTCCCGCGGTCGCCGTTTGTTACCCGGTGATTGCCAGGATACCTCCGCTGTTAACGTTTAAGTCCTGTCGTTAGCATGTGCCTATCTGGGTCTACATTGTCAACTCCCTCGCCATGGCCGTTACCTGGGCCTGCTCTGGCAGTCGCTGGTACCGGCCATGCGGTCCGCGCGGTCTCACGGCCACGACATGCGTCCTTCTGCTCTGCGGTCTCCGTCCTGCGGACACGTCCCGCGGTGTCCATGTCACCCAGCGTCCGGCCACCCTCGCCCCCATGATGACCCGACCATCGATGGGAGGAGCCGGGGTCCGGCGTGTGGTGCCGGTCACCCCTGGCCGTCCGGTGCTCCGCGCGCCCTCTGTCGGTGACCGCCGCGGCCAGCGGTCACCGCTGGCCGTCCGGTGCTCCGCGTGCCCTCTGTCGGTGACCGCCGCGGCCAACGGTCACCGCTGGCCGTCCGGTGCTCCGCGTGCCCTCTGTCGGTGACCGCCGCGGCCAGCGGTCATCGCTGGCCATCCGGTGCTCCGCGTGCCCCCTGTCGGTAACCGCCGCGGCCAGCGGTCGAATCCGGCGCGGACCGGCATGCTCCCGGCGCGGTGTTCTCAGTGCCGGTCGTTGTAGCCCTGGCGGACGTCAATTAACGAGCGTGTCCGGCGCCTGCCCGATGGGAATGACCATTTGGAAATGGGGTCGCCAGTGCCATCCCCGCCCGCCGCCCTGATGCCCGAAACCGATGCAGTGCGCGCTTCGGTATCCGGCTGGGATGCTGAGCGTGTGTTGGTGACGCTTGGAGTGGTTGGTTTCAGACCGGGGTATTGGGTTTGCGGGCGCAAAACATCAGACAGTTCTGGTGGATGTTGGTAAACGCGATGGTTAACCTTTGATTGCATACCATATTGGATGCCTTGCAGGCTTAAAACTTTGTCCATTATCTTGTCTTGACTACGACTATCTGATGATGAACCTGTCCCTTCCCAGCTGTCCTGACGCAGTCAATCTGTCGATGAACCCGTCCCTCCCCAGGTGTCCGGGCACAGTCTGATGATGATCCCGTCCCTCCCCAGGTGTCTGGACGTCGTCAGTCTGGTGATGAACCCGTCCCCCCCCCCCCCCCCCCCCGGTGTCCGGACACAGTCAGTCTGGTGGTGAACCCGTCCCTCCCCAGGTGTCCGGACTCAGTCAGTCTGGTGATGAACCCGTCCCTCCCCAGGTGTCCGGACACAGCCAGTCTGATGATGAACCCGTCCCTCCCCAGGTGTCCGGACGCGGCCAGTCTGATGGCGAACGTCTCGCGCCACATCCGGCTGATCCATGCGTCAGTCGGGTACCTCCGGGATCAGATCCAGGCTCGGCCCCGTATCCTGGAGCTGGGACAGGACACCGCCGGCGTCGCGTGAGTCTGTCCGCTGCCAGCTGATCTTGTCTCCTGCCAGCTGATGTTGTCTGCTTCCAGCTGATGTCGTCTCCTGCCAGCTGACGTTGTCTCTTGCCAGCTGCGCTATCCTGGGCCAGCTACTGCGGCGCCCACATGGTTCCGAGGACTTTGGGTGAACTTTTAGGCAGTGTCCTAGAATTGCTGACTTTGGGTGTAAAGCAGCATCCCCCCCCCATATTTTATGTGATTTTTTTACTCCTGTCTGACATTGTCTAATCGCACATGCCAAACCCCTATTCCCGTTTTGAGGCTTTTAGATGTCATCCAAAGCCGAGCTCACTTGAAACCACCAAGCATAAACGAGGCTCCGCAAAACCTGGACACCTATGGCTATGTCCTACCGCACCTACATCTGAATCATGTCTATGTATCCACAGAGCACGGGCGCCAGGTACCTCCAAGCCCAAGAACCCGAGCGACCCCAGCCGCTTGCACAAATTACGTTTGGTTGTTCACAAAATGCATCACAGCCTGCAGCTGTGCGCCAAAGGCAAGGTTTTCACGCATTCCCTATTTGTTTGGTCTCACCACCACACCACGAAAGCAGAGGCTGGTGCAAACACCAGCAAGGCCTGGTAGAGAATTTTGCTCCACGTACTTCTTTTTTGCCAAGGAAACTTGACTACTAAATTGCATCGCTCCCGAAATGCAGGAGAGAAAAGTTCAAGAAATGTCTTTTAATTCAAACTTACAAGATGAATATCACCATTTCAGCACTTCTATTAACAGATTTTGATTCAAATCAGCCGATTACAAAATTTTGCGAGAAAAGTATCAGTCTTTGTATCCATTTAGCTACTTTTGTTTTTCTTCACATCATGCCAGTGTGATACCACTTTATTTTCTCCTTCCTTTTCGATTGCCTTTAGAGTTGCCATCTGCTGCTTAAAATGTTGACCAATTTCTCTGCAAGAAGCTCCAACTGCAAGCTCGTACGTATTTAATACATAAATTGGATTGATTCGCCAGCCGCCCAAACATGTTTGATATGCACCCAAGCGTGAACAATTCACAGGGAATGGAGGAGACAATTTGAAGCACGGAACTTATTTTTACCGCCATCTTTTGCAGTCTTTAACCTTCGGTTAACCGTTTTCTTGGTTCATAGCGGTGCGCAATAATGATAAATACAAGCCTTTCGGGTGTCTGACCCACCAGGCTACCCGGCAAGGCTATTCCAATGCTGCCATATACAGCCTTGGGACAGACCTGACGCAGCTAATACAGAAGTGTTTGATGGCGAAATTCTGCCGTCCGGAGATGTTTATCATGCACACCTCTGGCTTGTTTCGCATTTTAATCTCGTAGGTTGGTGGGCATGATTGATATTTATATTTGGGGGGGGGGGTGAGTCGGAGGACTCTGTCTGCCAGCAGACCATACAAAAGGTACTGAATTTTTGTTTTGGGGGGAGCAGGAAGAAGCCAGTAAGTCTCCTGTGGACCAAGTAATTATGTACCTTACCTGCTTTAAGCACATGATTGGTAACTAGAATTGGCCATTTTCTGTTTTAAGGCATTGAGGTTTGCCATAAGACAAATTATGATGTCCCAAGGCATGCAATGGGCTTATTTGGTTCCATATTCTTGGTTAATTGTCCCAAATTTCTTAAAGGGGTCCCTCACGGCTGCCTTAGCCAGATGTTTTCTATGGTTGTCATGGTTTGCTGACGGCCAAATGACTGTACTGTATATATGCACTAAATTTATAACTTAGGGATACTGTAAGCTGCATAGCAATTATAATATGACTTAAATATTGCTATGTAACAAATAGTCAGACTACCCCTTTTAAAATGTGAAGTCAGCATCTCAAATTTTGTCATTAGATATGAATAAACAAGCTCAACTGGATGCATTTGGTGCAGCTGAAAAGGCAAGCAGCAATACTGACATGGTGATCTAAGAGTTATGTTATTTTTGGAAAAGAGAAATTGTTTTGTGGAGCATACCCATTATTGCCCTTGACATAGGTTAACCATGACAATCAAAATAAGTTGTTCAAAGTGATTTTAAGTGTTTTGATTTGGTGTGTTGTCAACTTTGTCTGATGTCAACAAGCATACACTAATGAAGTGAATAAAAATGCAAGTTGAAACCAGCTAAAAACTAGCTTTGAATATCATGTTTTTATCACAAGCGCCGCTGTCAACAGATAGGTGAGTTGAGATGATGTTCATCATATAGGCTAAGTGGGGTTAAGTTGGTCAAGTGCATGGCAAGTGGCGATAGGAATTGTGCAAGAATCAGTAACTCACAACTGCTGCTGCGATACGAACAGGTTATACAGGATGAGATGATGTAAGGCCTCTTTAGGTTAGGCATAGGCTACTTTCATGTAAATAAGCATTGGTATTTTGTAAGAAACAGTGACAAAATGTTTGTTTTCCCTGACCCCATCTTAACAGAAGCCAGAATTATGTCTATTGTGTTTGACTTGGTGATGGGCTGATGTGCAGAAGTCCAAGGTTTTGTGTTTGAGTGTTTTATGCTTGTTGAATTTTCTGTTGTTATTTTGTTGTTGAATTCCTTTGCTCTGTTCTGTTTTAAAAGTGCTCTGGAAGGGAATTGAAAAGTGCAGCATCAAATTATTGGTGTTAATAATTTGTTATGCTCATGAACACTGTCGCGAAATTACTGTACTTTAACACGCGCCCGGTTGGCCGGCTAGATACCCTTCGCGCGGGTAGGGGGGTCAATTTACCCCCCCCCCCCCTCTGAGATCTCGGGAACTAAGAAAGCTAGAGGCACCAAATTTACAGGATGTCTTGACCTACACGTGAACTCACTCAGGTTAAGGTTTCAGCTTCTTAGGTCATGACCTTCAGGTCGAATAAGGTCGAACAAGGTCAAAGTCCAGGTTGGTCTCCAAAGCGCCCCTAGAGCCTAGGCAACTGTCTCTAAGCAAAAGGTCACAAGCCCATTTGAGGTCATTGACCTTGTTTGACCTTTTCAAGGCCATGGTGACCAAAATGATACAAGACTGCTCGTTGTATTGCATTTGAATTAGCGACAAAGATTACGCTAGGCAGTATGTTCCTAGGACAAAACGTTCGACCGGGGTCATCTTAGGTCAGTGGTCTGTTCTGACCTCTAAGAAGCCAATTGAAGATGTATAATGCGGTTCCTGCTGTCAATAAATGCGAAATGTGCGCCAGAAACTATCCCATACAGCAAGCCCTAGAGTAATAGATCATGTTGGTTTTGACCGTGGTCTGACCATCATACCTGAGCTTAGGTCATCGTAATTTGCTTATTCAATATTTGTGGTGCCTAAGAAAGCATCTCAGAGATGTATGTCTTCGTCAAATACTCCGTTCTTATATCAGATTGAACGGTTCCCTAGAAATTGCCTTCGCTGAAACCATGACCTAACTTTGACCTGCCATAGGTCAGTGACATTACAAGCTAAATATAAAATTCAAAATGTCAAACGATCTGCTATTCAATTTTCTACAGCTATGCAAAATTTGGCGCGGTTACGCCGCGCCGTTCAGAAACCATTCGGGAAAAGCCCTCGGGGGGGGGGGGGGGTCAACTTGCTCCCCCCACCCGAGCGCGTGTTAATGTATTCTGTTTCTTTTTAACAGCCCAAGATGCTAAAAAACGAAACAGTTTTGTCATGTTCCTGATGTTACGTCCATGCCAACTTGAAATAGATGTCTTTGTGTGCTGAAGCATCAGTCACGAGCTCACAAGTTCCATCTTTTGTGACTTGACTTTTTCACTCCCGCACGGTCTTTTTGTGATGGAATTTTTCACTCCCACCCTAGTTCAAAAGCGATTCTAGCTCCCTGCTTTTAGGCGTCATTACCGCGCCACTATATGGCGTCTTTTGTCGACGGAATATTGGTTTGTTTTGATGGAGATGGGGATGGACGAAGGGCTGTGCAGGGTCTGAATATAGCGTAGCTTTCGCTATGCGTAAATGCCATGAAGGACGTCGGCTCGTGATGTTTACGCTCACTAAGAAGCCGAAAGATGGTTTGCCATCAATCTAGGTTATGCCAAGTACTTGAAATGGACCCTATGCTTGCATTTCATAACCACGAGAGGGCTGGGAGCAGTGGCAGACCAGGGTTTTGTGAGGGGGAGGGGGGGGGGGGCTGCACCCAAGATTGCGGACCCCCTGGAGTTAGGGGTCCCCTCATACGGGAACCCATTCTCCTGTGCGCAGCCCTGGGAAACTAGTTGTGGTAGGTATGTACATACTTGGAGCATGTTCCTTTTCCCCAGATAGTAGTGGATTATGTTATTTTAAGGCAAGGACATTGGAGAATATATGGCAAACCAAGTTGAGACAGGCTACTAAATACCATCAAAATCAAGCACGGCACCTGATTTCAAGGTTATTTACGGGTAGCCGGCTGATCGATGTGATCAGCTGATGACTGATGACTAATGCAGTTTTTTGCTGTCGTGAAGGAGCAGGGAGCTAGAATCACTTTTGAACTAGGGTGGGAGTGAAAAATTCCATCGCAAAAAGACCGTGCGGGAGTGAAAAAATCCATTCACAAAATACGGAACTTATGAGCTCGTGACGGGTGCTTCAGCAAACAAAGACATCTATTTCAAGTTGGCATGGACGTAATATCAGGAACCTGACAAAACTATTTCGTTTTTAACATCTTAGGCCATTGAAGTAAAACAGTAAACATCAACACACGCTCGGGTGGGGGGGGGGGGCAAATTGACCCTTCCACCCCGAGGGCTTTTCCAGAATGGTTTTTGAACAGCGCGGCGTGGTCGCGCCACATTTTGCATAGCTGTAGGAAATTGCCCAGCAGATCGTTTAACATATCAATTTTAGATGTACCTTGTAACGTCGCTGACCTATGACAGGTCAAAGTCATCCCATGGTTTCGGCAAAGGCAATTTCTAGGGAATCCTTCAGTCTGATACAGCAGCGGAGTGTTTGACGAAGACATTAAGATCTGAAATGCCTTCTTAGGCACCGCA